GGGGGGGGGGGGTTTTGCAGAGGGCTCTGACTTGTTTGGTTTTACGCAGGGAAGGATGTCTGTTTCTCCCTATTGATTTTGCTGTTAATAGGAGAAACACGTTGTCCTTTTGTCGTGTTCTCTTTTGCAGAGGTTTAAGCATTTTACTGCGTCTTTGGTTTGTTACCTTAAATGGATACGTGGGCATTTAAGATCTCAGAAAATAAATATGGGGAAAATGTTTTCAGCAGGGCTTGTTGCAACAGGACAAGGAGCAATGGCTTTGAACTAAGGGGGGCCAGATTCAGACTGGATATAAGGAAGATATTTTTTACCATGAAGGTGATGAAACACTGGAGCAGGTTGCTCAGAGAGGTAGCGGAGGCCCCATCCCTGGAAACGTCCAGGGCCAGGTTGGACGGGGCTCTGAGCAACCTGGTCTAGTGGAAGATGTCCCTGCTTGCTGCAGGGGAGGTTGGACTAGATGACCTCTAAAGGCCCTTTCCAACCCAAGACATTCTGTGATTCTGTGAAAAACAAACAGTGAACTATCACAAAGTTTTACAAAATTCAGAGCATTACATTTCCAAACAGACTTTTTGCAAAGTTGGATTTAAACACTTCCCTGCATATCCTAGTGTGGGCGCATCCTGGCCTGTGTTAGGAAGAGCATAGCTAGCAAAAGTGCTGATTTCTCTCTATTTCATGCTTGTAAGACTACATGTGAAGTACTGTGTCTAGTTTGGGGCTCATCAGTACAGGGAAGACGTTGAGATACTCGCGTAGTGTCAGTGGAGGCCAGCAGGCTAGTGATGGGGCTGGAGCACATGGCGTGATGTAGGAGGACAGGTCCACGGGACAGCATCTGTTCAGCCTCAGAGGAGAAGGCTGAGGGGACATGTGATTGCAGTTGGTGACTGTGTGATTGGAGAGCACAGGGAAGGTGAAGCCATATTCTTGGAGGTGAATAGTTGTGGGGCAGGAGGGAACAGGCACAAGGGGGAACCTCAAAAATTCCAGTTATTAGGAAAAAGGATTTTTACTGCGAGAGTGGTCAAATATTGGAAGCGGTTACCCTGAGAGGCTGTGATCTCTTCAGCCTTGGAAATGTCCGGGAACTGAGGGGACATGTCCCTGAGTAACCTGATCTCGTTAGATCTTTTGAGCAGAGGGTTGGATTAGATGACCTCTGGAGGTCACCCCCGGCCTAAATTACTCTATCATTCTATGGGGTGGTTTCATTTTTTGTTCCTGATTTCCATCTGTCAGGTTTTGGTTGGGCTCACCAACACTCATGGCTTTTTCACAGAAGTTTGTTCTGAGTCATTGAGATCTGAAGTCCATCTTCTAACAGAATAGCTCTCGTATTGATTCTTGATAGCCTAGAATACACCTTTTGGCACAGGAGAGAACATGATGCTGATATGCTTTGAGTTTAGATACCAGTTAAGGATGCAGGCTGTTCCATCCTGCTGCATACGAGTGGTGTTAACAGCTCTTTCTTTCCATTGTTGGAGACTGCACTGGTATGTTTTTGGACTATACCTAAGTTATTTGCTGGTACTCCAGTGTTAAACTTACTCTGCCTTACCTTCAGGTAGCTTTTTAGTCAGACTGTACAGAGAGAATGAAAGGCATCATTTCACATGGTTGGTTGGTTTGAAAATAATGATTCCCATGTTTTGTCTCCAGTCAGGAAGTAGGAGCTGAGATCAGAAGTCAATGCTGTGAAGATTCTAAGCAGCATCCTTGGCAGACAGACTTGCATTCGTGTTTGTGACTCCCCACCTTGTTCAATAAGTTTGTAAACCTGATTTAATGACAGCATGGTAAAAAAAAAATCAGAAAAGTCTTTGAGAAATGTCTAGCAGTGCTCATTCAGGTGGGAGAAAAGAGGCATTTAATTTGTGTTTGAGTTCTGAGTGATTGTCAAGGTGTTAAGGCCTTGTCACAGTGTGCTCAGAAAAATAATTTTGTCTTTGGTCCTGAAGTCATGACGTACAGTACTGTATGCAAAGTTCAAAGGAGAATGAAAAATAGAAGTGTCACTGAACAGAAAACATCTGAAATTCATGATTACCATTACCAGGATTAATCTTGATGGGGACACAAAACTATGCTGACTGTAGAACTTTGAGATAAATTTTCAGTAAAATTGCAGTCTAGCCTTGTGTTTAAATTAAGAATGAAAGCTGCTGCTGTGTTGGCATCATAGAGTAGTTTAGGTCAGAAGAGATCTGTGGAGTTCACCTACCACTCAGATAAGGTCTGCTTAGATCAGATTGCTCAGGGTGTTGTCTGCTAGATTTCTGAGTAGCTCCAAAGATGGCTCTTCAGGCAACTTTTTCCAGTATTTGACCACTCTGATGGAGAAAAATGTCTGATCGGAATTCCTGTGTTCCAGCTTGTGTCTGTTACCTTGTCATCTCACCATGAGCTGTATCACACGTCATCAGTAACCAACTTACTCTCTTGCTATTACTGTTGGATCAATAGTAGTTACCACTGTAAGTTGCATGAATATCTGTGTTCTAAGTGAAATCTATCAAACGAAAACTTGAGCTTTTTTTTTTTGTCCTTTTAACAGTGATATTTTCTGAATATTTGGACAACCAGCTGTTTGGTTATTGGGTGGGAGAAGTGTAAGCATTTTGTGTTTTCCTGCAAATCCATTCAATGAGAACAGGAGGAGAACACAGGAATTTTTGGTGGAAATAACCTTTGAGGGTTCTGGTAACAACTGACTTTGGAATCAGTAAGACATGATCCTTTGAAAATACGGAGATCTTTATAAAACATTTTAAAGAGGAAGACCGAATTGAAGAGTTACTATTTGGGGCTTGTCTCAACTCCTTACAGAAATGTGTTGTCAAAGACCCCACACGTATCACCTGAAATTTGATACAAGTTTGTTGGGGTGCTAAAAAGAAGAGGCAAAAAACTTCAGTTCAAAGCTGCTGCTCACCAAAAATGCACAGTAGTGCGTTTATGTGGCCTTGTCAGATTGACAGGAACTTTTCTCTTGCAAAGCTTCAACGTTCTTTTGTTGTTGTTTATTTTTCTTTTTTTTTTTTAAAGTTCTTTAGACTTATAAATCTGTAAACCCCAACTCTTGCGTACTTTTAGAAGAATACTTTTAAAATACAGCTGATCAATTAGGTTTCTGTTCTTTTGCAGCTTGCTTTGGAGGCTGTGTACTTCTGCGGTGGCTTTTACACAGCTGAACTTCGTGCTTCCGGAAATGTTTTTCAGTGTAATTTCTTTCTTTCATAGTAAGCGATGGATTGGAGCTGAGGCCAAAATACAATGGGATTCTCCACTGTATGACCACCGTCTGGAAGCATGAAGGGCTACGAGGCTTGTATCAAGGGGTAACTCCAAACATGTTGGGAGCAGGGGCTTCCTGGGGACTTTACTTTTTCTTGTAAGTAGAGCTGTAAAATATGTCATATCCTGTGCAATGTAATGTTCAGATACACACTTAATCTTCTTTGAGGGGTACAAAAATGTGCTAAGTGGCTTATAACCGTGATTCTTTTACTAAGTCCAGTCTGTTACCCCTTGTTATGGTTTGCTGTTTCAGAATTTAAGCAGTTTGAATCAGAGACCTGTTACTTTGTCAAGTACAGTGCATTCTCTTGGTGCTGTGAAAATACTAAAGAACTTCAGAGATGATGACATAATTCATGAAGAATCGTCTAAAAGCGCCGGTACTGTACTGTGTCACATGTTCTGTGACTGTGCTTAAAACATCACGAAAAATAAAAACATGAACTGATGTGTTAAGAATTAGAGAATATGATAGAATTTTATACTAAAGCTAAATGTTTAACTGTGTTTTAATAATTTTAGTGACAGTTAGTTCTTTCATTGTTTGTGTGAGTTGATGGGCTTTGCTTATAAAGCCCGTTTTTTAATACTCAATCGTTTCTGCTTTATTAGCTGTGTAACTGCGACCTGATTTACTGCCGATCCCTATTAATTGAAACATTTTAGGGAATAGTTAGTTGGTATGCCTCTGCAAACCTCACTTGTCAGTTGTCTAGACTCTTACTGTTGTACTTCAGTCCTTGAGCTTTTTTGTCAGTTCCTATTGACGGTTCAGCTCCTGTTCACATTTTCTCAATCCACAAAGACTGGGGGCTGGATCAAGAGAAGAAAGCTCAGTGTATTTCTGAGCTGGCAAGATAGATACCTGTCACTTGCTTTCAATAAAAAGGAGGCTATCTAATAGGTTTCTTTTAGAAGTTAATTCTTGAGATCCAATAGCTGTTTCAAGATGCGGTCCGCCTGATACTGACAGTAATACTTTATCAATTTAAATATGTGTTACCATAGTTCACTTAAATGAGCTAACTGTTCAGAGACCAATTAATCAGCTAAACAAAGATCATTTGCATAGATATCTGTTCTCAAAGGCTGTGTGCCACCTAATGTTTTCCATGATCTTAAGTGAGGTGTTTTGGTTTTTTGAGGCTTTTTTTGGTGATGTAGGTTTGTTTTCACTGTTACCAAAATATATTTTACATTTTCCAGTTACAATGCCATCAAAGCATACAAGAAGGAGGGGAAGCTGGAAAGCCTGAGTGCAACCGAACACCTAGTGTCAGCTGCAGAGGCTGGTGAGTTTAAATGCAAAGAAGACCAATGTTTGCATCTAGCCTTCCCATATGTTGCTCCCTGCCTTTGTGTGTCAGTGCTCTTTTTCTTACAGGTGGCAAGTGTAAGCGTTCGAGTCCAAATGCAATCATTTATTGTCTGTAGATAAATTAATGATGTCTAAGATGAATAGATGGATCCCTGTGGTCTTTTCAGTTTTGCTCAGAAACAGCAGTTGTCAAAATAGCTTTTGACCTTGTTTTCATTGTGTATTGCCATATTTAGTACTATACTGAGTCCCAAAATATAACTATGTAAATCTGCTGCTATCAGCTTATCTCATGAAATGTTTAACCTGGAAAAGAGAATTTGTATTGAAGTTAATAGAGTGAGTTGGTCATTGTTCTTTGAAAATATTCATCTATTGTCCAAGTTTTCTTAGAAACTAAAGAGCTGAAATAAAAGTACAACTTCTATCAGCAAGGCTTTTAATATGTTGTTTCTAACATATGTTGTTGTACGTGCTTCTGTGTTGTATTCAATCTAGGCAATTAAGAAGGCTTTTTATTAGGATGTTGGAGCTTTTGTTTAATGTTGAAATATAAGGCATATTGTTTGATATGAAAAATAGTAATGGGTTGTTTTATGACTGGATTTTCAATGACCTGGGAAGCTATAACAGGTTGCTTCTGTTACCCTCTCAATGTGATTAAGCAAATTTCTGATGACCCTGAGATGTCCATTAAATTTTGGACAATTGTATACCGGAAGAATAACTCGGATAATCAGGAGTATATTAAGAAATTACTTATGTTTCCTATCTACTACAGATTACACTACTACCTGTGGAAAGGTGAGGCAAAAAGGGCTGTACTAAGAATATGTAAAACGCCCTGTGCTCTACAGAAGTACACCCAGAAGGAGTAGGTTGGACTTGATTCTGAGCTTTGAAGACAGAGAGAGGGAACAATGGTGGGCATAAACTTTGCCTGTTTTAAGTAATATGAGTACTCTTGTAGGATAAGTAGTTTTGTCGTTGTAGAAGCCTGTGTTGCACTGGACTGAACAAAATGGAACAAGCTTTGGAGTTGGCGTAACAATCAGTCTAACTTCCATCTGTTCTCAGGAGCCATGACTCTCTGCGTTACAAACCCAATATGGGTAACGAAGACACGACTTGTGTTACAATATAATGCTGGTGTTGATTCATCAAAGCGGCAATACAGAGGAATGTTTGATGCTCTTATAAAGATATACAAGATGGAGGGCATACGTGGATTATATAAGGTAATAAAATTTAGGAAAAGTTCCAGGGTTGGCTGGCATCACTCAGTAGCATGGTGAGACTTGTAAATACCTGTCTACAAAGAAAAATGCAAGTCATTATTTGTATTAGCTCACTTATATTCTGTGAGTCTTGTTTCGCACGGACGAGCTGCAGCAAAAAGGCTTAATGAGAAGAAAAACTATTATACTGTTGAAATGTAGGAAAGCACTGAAGAGTAGAGTGTAAGCTTTATGGCTAAGCCATCTTCTACTGAGTGATAATGCTGAAACGAACTACAAGCTGCTTTTTAATGTTTTGGAGTCTTCCTATAAATAGAATTTGGATAAGGAGAACAGCAATAGCATAATCTGTCTTGCTGCTAATGCTTTCTTCCATTTCATCCCTTATCTCTGTCTTTCTGACATCTTGTGGAAAATAACATATGAGTAAAGTAACTGCTAATTTTTTCTTCCACAGTGGATGGTTTCACAACTGCTCATTTGCCCTCTAGTTATTGAGGTCTGTAATCTGTCATCTCTAGATCCATAAAATTTGCAGACTTCTAAATATGGTCTGCATATGTGTGGGTTTTTTATTCTCTTTAATTTAGGGAAACAGATGGCAACTGGATTTGGACTTTTTGCCTTCTCCTTCCTTCAGGCCATGACATCTAGATGAATTCATCAGTGCCTGGAAGGTGTGAAGAAACCTATTTTGGTTCAGTCTGGCTCTGCTCCTGCAAGTAGTGCTATAGAACAAGAACATTATCTCTTAGGAATTGTCCTGATTACTGAACATTAACTTCTTTTATTTGCAGTGAAAAATATAATTCTTCCTGTGCTGAAAGACTGGTATGCCACATACTGATCAATGCTGAATTCTGAGACTAGGAGCAAGGCACCTTTCTTAGTCCTAAATTGAAATTGTCAGGAATTCTGATTTGCCTGCCTGGATGTCTGCTCTGTTCCGTGTAGATAAGTTCTAATTTCTTGCATCTGTTAGGGTTTAAGATGTCTTTCCCTTGAGTTACTATTCAGATTATTTGTGCCTGTAGCATGTGTTGCCTTTGGCATTAGACACTTCTTTGTAGTGTTAATCTGCAAGTGGGGAACTAAACCAGGTACTTCCTTTGAAAGAGCAAATTATTTGCTTAAATCTGGAAAGGTGATGACCTAGATAGGTCCTGAGTGACCTACATAACTGTGCACACTGAGTGGCTTTTATGTGACGTCAGGATTCCCTCAACTTTGTCTATACTGAGGAAAAAGGCACCTCTTCAGGTGGCTCTGACTTGTCCGTGCTTTAACCTTCCTCCATTTTCTTTTTTTGGGGATTTTTCATTTTTTTATCTTTCTTGCTTTATTTGAAATTTTATGTCTGAAGTTTTGTTAATTGCCCTGAGTTGCAGGAGCTGTAGTGCACATGAATGTCTTCTTTCTCCTCATAATCTTCATTTCAGATAGGGTTTCTTATAGCAGATTCGGGGATCTCAGGGAATACCACCACAGGTTGGAAATAAAATCTGGAATTAGTTTCTTTCTGATTAATTTGAGATTAGTCTTCTAAAGAATGGTATTTCTGTCCAGGCCATTCCATATCTCGCTCTCTATTGCACAAGATTTTGTTCCTGGTCTGAGGAATTCTTTTTAGTCCTTTGAGGCACAAGACTAGCAATGTCAGGGTGCATTGGTCTTTCTAGCAGGGATCAAAGCTGTCTTTATTAGCTCTGTTGGATATTGTTTGTTCATTAAACATAGTTCATCTGAAGCTGAGTTCCTCAATAGCTTGTTCTTCTTGAACTTGGCTGGGTTTTGAAAAGACGCGAGCCTTTCCTTCACTCATTATCCCAGTAATCATCTAGTCAGTGATCTTCCCCACCCTCCATCCTTTAGGCTGTGTCCTTTGGCCTCTGTCCCCCACATGAGTGGGCACAGAGCTGCTCTGCTGTCCACCGGGCTGAGGAAAAGAACAGCTTGGGGTTGTGTAATTTGAACTGGCATATAGGTCTACTGGAGATCTGAGCTCCAAAAATTACTTTGCCATGAAGTGGAATGTCATGCAACCATCTCCATGTTAAGAGTGCTGCATGGTTCTTTTCAAGCATAAGGCAGGACAGGCCAAACATTGTAAAATAATCAGGAGATTGTAGGAGTTGGCGCTTGCAGAAAAAACATAAAATATCTCTGAGCTCTTGGGGAAACTGTGAAATGTCTAGGCTAGAGTGACTGACTACTAAAACATCAATCAAGTATGCAACTAACATTCTTCCTGGCCTCCATGCTTCTGTATTTTTATTTTTGGTTTCGTTCTTGTTCAGCAATGATGTAGAAGCAGCAATTAGAAACAGAGCAACGCTTAATAGACAACAGTGAGATAAAGAGAAAGTGCAGAAAATTTAAGGAGACTTTTAAAGGAAAATATAGAATCATCGAGACTAAGAGCAATAATTCAGTATGCTAACAGCAACGACAAAATCCTAGCAGTAATGTGTGCTTGTTACTAAGTGAAATCAATATATTGGACACTTCTGTATTGTCATTTCACCTTTGATGGGCAAGATTCTATACTCTGAGGATAAAGTGTTTTTCCCAGTCCATTAATGTCTAAGACATTAAACTTTCTTTATTTTGCTATGCATTTGCTTATGCTTCTTTGCTCACAGCCCAGAAGGCCAACCGTATCCTGGGCTGCATCCAAAGCAGCATGGCCAGCAGGTGAGGGGAGGGTGTTCTGCCCCTCTGCTCCACTCTGATGAGAGCCCACTTGGAGTCCTGCATCCAGCTCTGGAGCCCTCGGCAAAGAAAGAAATTCTTTACCCTGAGGGTGGTGAGGCACTGGAACAGGTTGCCCAGAGAAGCTATGGATGCCCCCTCCCGGAAATGTTCAAGGCCAGGATGGATGGGGCTTGGAGCAACCTGGTCTAGTGGAAGGTGTCCCTGTCCCTGGCAGGGGGGGTTGGAACTAGGTGATCTGTAAGGTCGCTTCTGACCCAAACCATTCTACGATTCTATAATGATTTTATGATTTTCCTTCTTCTTACAAATGTCAACCTTGTAAGCTAAGTGACTTTCTATGTCTCTGTACTTGTATACAGCAAAATCCACTGAGATTTGGCCATGCTGATTTTAACTTTAGTCCCAGGTTCTACAGATTGAGAGAATCGTCAGTGACTCACATAAAAGATGGCACCATTTTTCACCAGGAAGGAGTGAAGATGCATAGGGAGATGATGGCATACTTCCATGCTCTTTCTGCACAAGTTGTCAGAGCAGAGCACTCTGATACTGCTGGTCTTTGGCACACTGAGAAAACAACACTAAAGAGATTATAAGGGGAATCCGCCACGTTCTTTTGAAACATATAGCAGAGGCTGCTCTGGTGTGAGCGCTCTCAAACACTTCAGGCAGTGATGTGAGTACCACATCACCAAATGAACCTTGTTTCCTACTTTAGTAAGAGGCATAGGCTTTCCACTGTATAGATTTGCCTATGTTCCTTTTCATTGTGATGGGCAACCTTTGAAACACTAATCAACAGGACATTTTTCTCTTATCCTGGACCTTTGGCACTTTCAGCTGTTTAAACTAACTTTAAAATCCAATTTTTTTCCCCACTCTCTGCTATTCAGAATGATATGCTTTACCATGTCAACTTCTAGATATAATTCTGTCTATTGTTCTAATCCTCCAAAAGAGAACTCAGACAGGGCTTCTTTGAGCAACTGTTAATCCTGTCAAGCTGTCATGGCAAAAATCTTCTAAAGATATGTTTTGAATATTAAAGTAAAAAATAACAAGTAGTACATAAAGTGAAATTATTTTAAAATTGATCTTCACAGTCATATTATAGATGAAAAATAAATACCAAATCCTGTAAAATTTTATGGCAAGAAAGATTTTTGTGTAAAATTGTAAGAATAAGAAAATAGAGTAGGAATATATTTCAAAAAACTTCCTCAGCCAAGATATTTCATTACTGTGAAGAAAGCAGTTTTGCTTTGAAGCATTTTTCCATAAGAACACATTGTTTTGTGTGGTCGATACAAGCCTGGGTCAGCTCTTATTTTACTGAGGCACATTGGCTGACAATTGCCTCACTCCTTTCTTGCATTTTTTAATACTGGCCGAATATTAAGGGTCCTTCAGTCTTTGGAAGCTTTCCCCATCAGCACAAGACTTAGAGCGTGCTGGTACTCATTTAACAAGTATAATCAGTAGATGCCTTAGGACTCTTGGGTGCAAGTTATTCAAATCTGCTGACATAAATTTAAGAATTTAGCACTCTTAAATGTTGTTTAACAGTCTGCTTTTGTTGGTGGGGAAAATATTACCTCATTCTTCTATGATATAAATACATCATTCTAATTCTTTCCAAGTAGACAGCAATTGATTCCTGTGTCTTTTAACAGTTTTACTGTCTAACCATGAGCAAATGTTTGTGAAGATTTTCCCTGCTGTCACTACACATAAATTTCATACTGTTCCTTGTTCTGCTGATCCTGATAATTTTTTCTTTGATATTTTTGCTACTTTTTTTTTTCTCTGTTCCTCCTCGTCTGTTTTTATATTACTGCTTAATTTTCTTATCTGATCCAGGATTTCTGAAAACCAAAGTTGTCCTTTTCCTGCTGTTGTGGCCCTTTGGCTTCAAACTTCACAAAATTCAATGATTGCGCTCACAGTGCATGAAATATAGATGTTTGGTTTAATGCCACATGTTCTCATTTCGAGAAGTGTTTTTTCTGGGACTTTAGCTAGCGTTTAATGCATTTCGTTGGTTCATGATCACTGGTGATTAGTTCATGGCAATTATTTTCTACTGTGAGAAGAAATTTATCCTCATTTATCCAAGAGATCCTAAAAATCAATTCCTGAATGCCTGTAATATCATAAACTTAAGAAATCTATAGCATGCAGAGAGCTAATATCTGAAGTGGTAGAAGCTCTGTGCAATTTTTATGCATGCTGTTGTTTTACTTTTGGGTTTGTTTTGGTTTTTTACTCTGCAAGTTAAGAGTTCATGAAGTAATTTATCATTTTGTCCTGTTACACTGTTCCGGTGGACTCCCACCAGGATCCCTTCTCTTTTTCTTCTCATTCTCCAGGCTTTTACTAGTATATTGGTAAGTCTTTATTCAGCATTCTGGGCTTCCAGTTTAGGCTAATGCAGTGTGTTGTGTCTGGACACATCTTTTAATTCCTCTCTTAGGTGAATTTATCATGGGAAATAAGATACTGTTTGATACCAGTATTTTGGGGGAAATTTTGGTTCTTTGAATCCTTTTACCCACGCTTTGATCACTTACTCCATTATAATTGTCCCTTAGCAACGTTTTTCAGCAAGCTTTTGGCTCCCTTAAGTCATTTCTGGCCAAGATGATTAATTCCCCATCTATTTGTATTTTTCCAGTGTAAGTGACCAACACTTCAAAAAGAGAATTAGTGCTTCCCAGAACCCGTGCAACTGTGTCAGCTCATTTTCAGCTGAGCTAGTATTGCTCCTGAAGGAACTTCTGCCTTCTATTTCTTGTAGACACTTCGGAAAATACCCAGTTTCCCCCTTCATTTCAACTTTTTTGAAGGAAAAGGTGTCTGCGTATTTTTACATTATGCTCTTACTGTCCATTGCGGCCTATTACAAATGGGCAACATCGCCCAGACTACTTTGTGACACCTTTGGTCACCTCTGCTGGGCTGCCTTGGGATGTGCTCTGAGCAGGGTGAGGAATGCACTCAAACTGATCCAAATCTTACATTTATTTCTTTAATGTAAATCGTCCATAAGTCCTTGGAGGAGTTAGCTTTCCATCTGTGCCCTCCCACTTTCCACTGTGCAAGTGTGCATGTGTGAAAGACATTGAGGTGCTGGAGTGTGTCCAGAGAAGGGCGACGAGGCTGGTGAGGGGTCTAGAGAACAAGTCTTACAAGGAGCGGCTGAGGGAGCTGGGGCTGTTTAGCATGGAGAAGAGGAGGCTGAGGGGGGACCTTATTGCTCTCTGCAACTACCTGAAAGGCCGTTGTAGTGATGTGGGTGTCAGTCTCTTCTCCCAAGCAACTAGCGATAGAACGAGAGGCAACGGCTTCAAGTTGCGTCAGGGGAGGTTTACATTGGATATTAGGAAAAATTTCTTCACAGAAAGGGTTTTAAAGCAATGGCACAGGCTGCCCGGGGAAGTAGTTGAGTCACCATCCCTGGAGGTATTTAAAAGATGTGCAGACGTGGCGCTTAGGGAAGTGGTGTAGCGGTGGACTTGGCAGCGTTAGGTTTACAGTTGGACTCAGTGACCTTCAAGGTCTTTTCCAACCTAAACTGATTCTATCATTCTATCTGTACACACATTCTTTTTATATAGAAATGTATATATATCACAGACACACATTTATATATACGCACACACATGCACATACGTATATATCCATCTCCAGGACCTGATCACAAGAATTGTTTTGTACCTCTGCTCCTGATGGCCATCCTCACTGAAACACCAGCTTCTGTCATTGCCTTGCCAGTGGCAAGTGGGAGCTAAAGAGCTTAGTGCCAATCCCTGGAAAAGAGCAGGCACTGAGCAGCACATTTGCAAGACTGCAGCTTGGTTTGTATTCTTACAGTCCTGATCCGTGTTACCAGCTTTTTGACCTGTGCTTGTGCTCTGTGAGGTGGAGTCCCTAGGCCTCTTGTTTCGTCTTGCTCGCTCATTAGGTATCTTTAGCATCTATGTAATTTGGAGAAAAGTGACATTTATTACACTTTTGTGTGATGCCTGCCATTAAGAATGTCAACCCAGAATCAGCTTTTGAGTTGTACTGCACAGTGACAGTTGTGCAGTCACAGTCTGTAAAGTAACGGAGGACATATGTAAGTGTGTACGCTGGGCTCTGTCAAGTTGTATAGTTCTTGTGCATTGCCATTTAACCTTGTTTTATTCCTTTTTTCAGGGATTTGTGCCTGGTCTGTTCGGAACTTCACACGGAGCACTTCAGTTCATGGCATACGAGGATTTGAAACTGAGATACAACAAGTACAGAAACAGAGGATCAGATACAAAATTGGTACGATTCTTGAGAATGAAAATGTATTGTGGGCACACGAATAAGCAGAAATTTATTCTATCTGTCTAGGTCATGGAGTAGCCAAATGTACAAAGTATTGATACATTAATTGGAATGTAGAATATATATTGGAATGTAGAATACTCTCACTTTTTAGGAACAAGCAACTGGTTAGCGCTGTTTTCCTCTAGGGAAACCAACTTCTTATTCTGGCAAGTGTTTTGAGAATTTTAGAGGGAGGAATGTTTTTTTGTCTTACTCTGTGGAACCGTAGGTGGTAGTCTTAAATGGTCAGGTGCAAGTTGGGCAAAGGTCCTTTTGGAAGAAGTGTTTCACTTGATAGGGATGAGAGGGTACAACACAGATTCTACAATGAATTATGTGTAGCACTGTATATAATAAATGTTGCCATTTTTTAAAATGTTTGTATTATAAAGAGGAAACATCTAGAGTATTGTTTAGTTCAACATTTAAAAATCAAATAAGGTTTGGGGAAACTGGCTAATTTAAACCGTACTTAAGGCAAGCCTGGTAATTTTTGTTGCTTTTAGAACACTGTGGAATACATAACGATGGCAGCTGTATCAAAAATATTTGCTGTGTCAGCAACATATCCTTATCAAGTTGTGCGAGCTCGTCTTCAAGATCAGCATAATACGTATTCTGGTGTGTTTGATGTGATCCGCAGGACATGGAGGTAGGCATGCACAGTTAAAAGCTTATGTCTTGGAAAGCAAGTCTTACAGAATCAGAACTGTGTTGGCTTCCGTGCTGACTTGCAGAACCAGTGCAGCTCAGAGCAAACAAAATGTTGGTTGTAGAAAGTAATTTTGTGCAAGATGCCACTAATAGCAATAATCTAAGGACAAAGGAGGAGGCAGGATAGGTAGGGTCAGTGCTAGCCTGCACCTTCTGTTGTTTATTCTGTCTCCCTTCTCTCTTTCCTAGCAAATGGCACTTACAGGTTAAGAAAAAAACACTGTTTTTTTGAGTTGGCTGTTGTGGGGCTCTTAGAGAATGAAGTCTCCCTGGAACTTTATCACGTAGGACAGGAGCATTGTGCTGCTGGGATTTGTGGCTAATCCAAATTCCTGGCAGGAGGAAGTGAGCTAGCCAGAGCTGTTTATATTGATGTCCCTGGGTTACCCTGGGGCCTGACTGCATTTGTAGCCTACTCCTAGCCTCCCTTAAAGACCTTCAGAGAGCTGTCAACCTCACATGTATGCATATCTTCTCACAAACCTTCTTCCCTTAGCTCCACAGGGCATGTGAGAGTGTTCCCATAGAACTCTGTAGTTACTAAGGTTGGCCACCTTCACAGCATGCAACCGATATTAATCTTCCTTTGGACAATGTTTCTGGGTTGCAGCATATTGCTAGAGAGAGACATGAATGGAGTCAGCTAGCTCCTGGGATATTAAGAGGTGCCACCAAAGTGAGTGAATGAGGCTGTGTTGTTCCAGGACCACGCCTGGCTCCAAAGCAGTATGGCCATTTTGACCAAAGCCAATTCAAAGCAAAAATAGCTCTGATGTCTCAGCGCTGTGCCCTTCAGTGCTGCAGCCTATAGGAAGGCTTGCTCCTTCTCATGAAGTGTGAACGTATACAGCCATTCTGGGGCCACTGCTGTACTCATTATGAAACAAATGTGACCTAGAGCCCTAGGGAGGGTGGTGTAAAACATATCCAAGCACTTTGCAGGGTCTGTGTTAAATGTACTCATCACTCCAGCTGTCCTTGGCCTCTGAAGCTGGAAAATAGGGAGCTGAGATTAAAAGTCATTGAAACTTTTAACAGCCCTGGCATGAATACTCTGATTCAAACTGGGAGAGGTTAGATTCTCGTTTATTGGCCAGTGGAATCAAAATTCTGGAGGAGGTGCTTTAATTCTCTGAAAATAAATGCTGACTTTTCTTAGTATGTTGACCCTCAGCTCGCTTGCTGTTACGTGACCCAAAACCACCGAGCCTTTCAGCCCTGCTGGCTTCAGCAAGATAAAATATGTAAATGCTTTTTGGAATACGCTGCAGAAATTATATTATTTATAATATAAATTAGTTATTTTAACCAGTTCTTATGGCATGAAGAAAGATAGTAAATTGCCTCCTCCTTAGACAATACAAAAAAAAACCCCCACAGAAACCCACCCAAACCCTAGGCTAAATAATGGACCTACAGAATACTATTGTATGTTCAGAAGAGAAAATTATGGGTTAAGATTTGATATATTACAGCTCTTTAAACACTATAGTAAGAAATTACGCTGAAATTGTTATTCCTAACCTGAAGTACCTCTCTTGGTGAGAGCATGAGAAGAAAAATGCCAGGTTTTGTCTGGTTTCTGTTAAAAGACATTAATTTAAACCAAATGTTTTTGTCTGTCTTTAAAGGAAAGAAGGAATTCATGGATTTTACAAAGGAATTACCCCCAATGTGATCAGAGTGACTCCTGCCTGCTGTATTACCTTTGTCGTTTATGAAAATTTGTCTCGTTTTTTACTTGGTTTTAGAAAAGAAAATAATTAAAGGTACGAGCTTGTGTTGATAAGGAATCTGTCCTTTATTTTTTGTATTTATGATCTGGGAGAGATTTAGTTCAGCAGTCTTTTTTGACACTGTGAATTGATCCAGTATTTTGAGGAAAGAACCTGGAAGTAGTATAACCCTGCCAATGTCTCTTCTGCTGAACGTTCCTGCATTGCTGCCTTGCGCTCTGTCAGCTGTGTCTGCTTGAACCAGATGTCTCTGCAACTATGAAATGATGACACTGTGACTGGGTGAAGGCAGCAGCGCAGCAATTCAGTTCATCTTGGCCTGCCTAGAATTACAGGCCAACTGGTTTTGACAAGTCTCAAGATAACAGGTGGTCAGATTCTACTCCTACAGAAGTGGAAAACTTCATATAAAAGCAACTTTGGGGTCCGTCAAAGCTTTCTTAAATCTTTATCTGAGTCTAATGAAGAAAGTATGTATGTAGTTGTTTACAGCAATGTCTTCTGAATCCACCTCTGTGTTATTTGTCAGATTTTACAAATTCCATTGCTCATCCAACACAAAAATGCTGCCTCAGTGGGGTGCAGTTTGGAAACTCAAATTGTTTTGTAAAACAGCTGTCCATTCTTGGGTTTGAATAATTGCCAATCTGATGAAACCCAGTTCTTGTCTCATACTGGGACAGACTTGCGTTGTGGTTTTTGGCTTGCTTGTAGCGCCAGACCAAACTGTATGTTGTGTGCATCGCTGGACACTTACTTAATTCATTTTCTTTCTCTTCCCTGCCTGCCCTCTCTCGCTCTCTCTCTGTTTCTCTGAGTGAGATTCTGTCTCCGTTACCGATAAATCTGACCAAATATTGCTAAATAAGTGCATATTTTAAAGTAGGCTTACTTCTTAAAAATGAGGGTTTTTTCTAGTAATCCATAGTGATGCAGTTGTCAGATCACTTTAATAACAAATATCACAATGCCTATTTTCAATAATATTCTCGGAGGGGGGAATCCATAAGTAGTCTAAAAAATACTGTGCATGTGACTTTCTTTAAAAAAAAACAAAACGATCCATTAATGTCTTCTCATTTGGTCTAAGGAAAGGACAACTTAGTGGTAAACTAAATTACAGTACATCTCAGTAAATTTGTATAATAATATCTATTTGCATGCCAATAATTGCTGACAAAGATATGTACTTTATGGAGCTCTGGGGGTTTTTTATTTTTTTAGTTCTTCTTTAAGAAAATACATTACTGGCCATAACATCTGCTGTCTGCTGTTAGTAAGAAGGTATTAAGAAGTATCTGTAAAGTATCACTTAACTAAGGAGGAAATAAGTTAGTAAAGATTATTCAACAGGTAGGGGGAAATAATCAGTTTTGTATGGAGCGGAGAATACTATACAGCAAAACACCTGAATAATCACTTAGAGTAAGTTTTCTGTTTAACAGAAGACTAACCTAAAGCAGAAATAAGGCTTTTTAATAAAAATTTAACAGATTAGGGAATTGGTTTCAATTTTATGTTAAAATCTGTAAGACTATAGAAACTACTCAATATTTTGAATCTTAACTCAGCAATTCACATGCTTGTTTCTGTTGATATTATTGCCACATACTACATTTTGTGTATACTTAACTTTATTAATAATTTACACTTTCTCCTCCATGATCCCATCCCCTCTACTGATACAGTTGATAATCTCATCTGAAAAGGGCATGTTGCCATTATGGCTGGCCTTGGTTTTTATTATGAAAGTTTCCACGTGTATTTAGCTGAAGATCAAATTTACCAGAAGTTTACCATGCAAATAAATTACTGTATAGATCCCTAACAGCTACTAACAACTTCTGCTTTTGGAGGGTGTTTACTTGGTTTTGTGTGTTTTCTAATACACAGAATTAATTTAATGGAACACTGAATTAACTCTGCCAGCCAGGGTCCAAAAAAATACTATGAAGACATATGAATAAATCATAAGAACAAAAGTCGTGCACTTACTATCCTGGATTAGTGTGCTCCAGGATAAATGCAAAGACAGGCTACAAGCATGTACACAATCAGTTACTGTATGTTAACTGACATTCTGTAAATTCACACCATAGCTTAGCTCATAGTAACTTGTTTGTGTTCAGATACCTTAAAACCCATCGTCCAAGCCAACAAAAACAGTACAGTTCTTAGAGACAAAATGCCAGCTGTGTAATTTGCTGGCTCGCAGCAATATCACACAGAAGCTTGCAGTTGGGAAAGCCTGAATGCTGTCCTAGCTGCAGGTGTTTTCCTCTAGCACTCCTAACAAAAGCTGCAGATAAGAGCTACCAATTTGAGAGATGCCTGGGGAAAATCTTATAACCTGTCCAGAAAAAAAGCTGAGATTTAATCCTAAGTAGCTGAAATAAATTTCTTAACTCAGATGTGATGTTTTTTCCTTTTCATGTTATATATGCTTTTTCTTGTTTTGTGATTTATTTTTTTTAATTTCCTTAGTGTAAAATTGATTTTGTAATATAAACATGACTACTGTTTCCTATTAGAATCTGTACAATTTTCAAAAATATTTGAGTATATCACTTGTTGCATTTGGAAGAAGATACTTAAAACACTGAAGCTAATGCTGTGCTGGCATTAATGCTGTGTTGGCACTTGTGCAGTCTGGAGGCTGCACTCAAATAGCTGTGACATCATTCTTTCACTTCACTGGTACACTTTTTGGAAGCTGAGGAATTTCAACCTTATCCTCCAAACAATTTAATGTGTCTAGCTTTTCATTAACACCAAAGTGATTGTACATCTCCGAAAGGCTAATCCAAGAGAATTATTTTACTGGAGCAATGAAATTAAGTTTTGTAACTGTAAAACTACTTACTATCGGCATGTTAATAGTGGAGACCAATGATATGTATTTATACTGAAATCCAGTCTATCAAGAAGCAAAAGAGAGCTTAGACAGTCTGTTTTTACAGTTACTCAGAATGAGGTACTTAATGCTTACCGTATCATCTAGGTCACAGTGAAGTCACCAGGAGTTTGTTGGGAGATGTAAGACTGTAACAGCAGAGCATCCTATTCTGTAGTCAGGTTCACCGGAGTAGATGTTACGTATGTTTTCTGAAGGCTAAAGCCAAGACCTGAGTTTACTTTCTGAGAACTTTCTATGAAGTCTTCTAAAAAAATTTATTGTGTATCATAACACCATGTAACATACAGTTTGATGATGAGTAAAATAGCCTGGATTTTTTTTGTTCTTGTAAAAGGTCTTATTTATTTGATACAAAAAGTTACAGTTAATTCTTAAAATGGTGGTGGTATATTTTCATATGTCAAACAAGGAATTAAAAAAGTTAATGAACTTGGGTTTGATACTTATATTCTAAAATGATTATTATAAAAAGCCTCCGCAATGTGCAAAAAAAGGCTAGACAAAGACTACAGATACAAGAGTTTGGTGCCTTTCAGTCAAATACTTGCATCCAACTCTATAAATTCTGAAGAAAATTGTACAAAAATTTTAAAAAAAGGGGAGAGATTATAAAAAGGGAGGGAAAGTTATTTTGGCAGTTCTTCAATGATGATTCGGGAGACTGAATTCCATCCAGTAGAAGCGTCTCCCCGTGGGTAATCTGAGCAAGTCCCCACCCAGATGGCAATATCGACCAAGCCGGCATTGATCCCTTCACACAGACCTTCCACTGGTGAAAGACAAAAATCAGGTTACCTCGGCAGACACAGTCACTTTGTGTTTCACAGCTGAAGGTGGACACAAGTACGTAAGATCAGTAGTTCACTGCAAGCGCATGCTATTTAAACCTGAATAGCATTTTTAGAAATAAAAGCTATCACTTACAGATGTGGCAACACAGGTTACAGAGTCGTGCGCTGCCTTTCTCCACCTGCTTCCTGACGTCTGTTGCAGTACCCGAAGCAGATCGCAATCCACGGGATGGCTAAATGGCAGATATACCTGCCGCTTCTTTAAATGCCCAAATTTACAAACTGGTAGCTGGGATATGGCTTCAACCCCATCCTCCAGCCATCTTTAGCAGTGGTGGGGAGGTGGGACGGGACACAGCCATACCTGGCTTCCACAGCTAAGCCCCACAAAGGTGGTTGCCACCCTGTAATCTTTTGCACTCCTAATTCATCGCTTCCATATAAAGTTCCACTTCTGTTGCCCTCTTTTTTTTCCCCCCCACTACCACCACTGGTTGGAGGTGGGTTGATGAAGATAGGTGGGTCCTACCCCTTGATGAAAAAAAACTATCATAGCTCCAGATGTTAGATTTCCTGCAGCTGTGAAATAGTACAACGAGGAAAATGGAGAAAGAGCATAGACTTGACGTTAGTCCCCTTTTGCTAGTATGACCTGCTTTCACGTTGAATGACTTCACTGATTTGCCTTTTGCTTAGCAATTGAATAATTGTTCCTAGATATTTCACTTTGGAGGTACTTTTGTGTCCCAGCTGAAATTATAGTAGAAATTCCAGGGGGAATACGTCTCATTTTATGCACAGATAATGCGCAAATATCAGTATTTTAAGCCAGGATGACATTGTCTGCTTGGCAGTAAGGCAGTTTCTCCATATGCTAATACAGCACAGAATGTCTCTCTACTCACGTTGTAGCAGAGATCAGCAGAACTGTCTGGATAGAAATCTCTTCCGCTTCTAAATTGCAGGATATAAGTACCATGAAAAATACCACAGTAATAAAGTACCACTTAATAAGTGAGTGTAATACTGTTACTATTGACAGTCAATGGTGAGACAGCACAGTAAGAGCAACAAGTGTTCTCTGGCCACTCTTCTGCCTCTGCTTTCAGCCTGCTGACTTTCTAAGGCAGACTCAACTCTGCATTTGGTAACTGGATTTGCTGCTGACTTCTATCGCACCTCTGTTCATACGGTCTTGGCATACATACCTGAAGAAGTTCGGTGTATATTAATAGTAGAATTCAGCTCCGGGCTTCCCTGATCCAAATATATTATGGCTTCAATAGGAAGTGGCCCAGCACATTCTGCTCCATTAAAAGTAAAGTACCAGCGCTGAC